TCTCCTCGATTCGACCTACCGTAGTGCCCTTCCATAAGCGACAGTTTTTTTTCTCTTAAAAAATCCCAAGGAATTTTTTTCACTGTCTGTTCTTTTTTCCTTTGTCAAACCTCATTGACTCGTGTCACTGGGCATCGCCAATAGGCTTAAGTACTATTTCTTTTGACATCACAACGTCAATGTAAACAAATAGGGCGTTCAAAGATACACACCTGCATTCCTCTAAAATATACTGAACTGAACCCGCTGTGTGAAAACCTGTTTCGGAGTCCAGAATGCACTTCACTTGAGTTCCTCAAGATCAATTAAACGAGTTAAAAGGCAATTGCAAGTGAAAGAGAAAACGAACCGATGGAGCCATTAAGGAGACGGCCGAAACGAGAAAAGCGCCGAATAATCCAAGACCGTGCACAAAATGCAGCTGCCACGACTGCTTGACCGGAAGCAGGACAATGGGCGTGGGGCCTGTGGATGTATCACTTTGGGACAGCAAAAACTGCGAATTCTTAGTTGCAAACTCCGTAGCTGAAAGCATGTAGAGGCGACGCAGGTGTGCCAACTCTGCATTCGCCAGATTAGCGAATGTGAGTAGGGCTACCAGAGCTAGCGATTGGGTTGGCGAGGCGAGACCGTTAGCGAGGAATTCGGGGATCATGGGTGGCCAATCTAGGCGGAAAAGGTACAGACCGAGGCAAAAAAAGGTAATTTGGAGGTGACCAATGGCAGACATTAAAAATAAACAAAACAGCACCATTTAGAGAAAGGTTTTCCGAAAAATAAATGTCGCAGAATGAACAAGTGAACGATAAGGGGGACAAACTGCGGAGACAGGGGAATGCGAGACAGCATCTGGCTACGAGAATCCGACGGTCGATTTCGACGAGGTCCAACATTTGCCCCACTGCATGGGGGGGGGCGCAGGCACGGTGACTAAATTAAATTGAGGAAACATGCGCTACAGTCACCGCACTCTCGCCGGTGTCATAAACTATTCAAGAAGGCCGGAGGCAGGAATAAGGACAGGT